GCAGTGGCGTAACCCTCGCGGAAGGAGCGCACGATTTTATGTAACGTTAGCGCGCGCACAAAGGAAGGGAAGGGAAGGGAAGCGTTCGAAGAAATCGCGTTGAAGGAAAATCGCTTATATCGGTGTTTCCCCTTTATGACAATTTCGATTGACCGTGTCNCACCCACCCGGATCACGCGGATCGATGGGAATTGCCGGCCGGGCGGTAATTAATCGAAACGAGTGTAAATAATTGATCGGCGCGGAATCGTGAATAACGGAAAGCGGAAATCGGTGTATGTAATTTCCAACGACCGTTAAAACCTTCGTTTTCCTCCGAAGTTTGCGAAGTGTCGAGATACGCCTTTGAGGTCTGGCTTCTTGCGCGACTCGAGCAAGGGATTAAATCCGGCGAGCGGAGAAGCGGCAATTTCGCGGATTGGGGTCAGTGTTTCGCTTCGATCAAAAGTGTTTCGTTTCCAAGTCGAACGACTTTGGCGAAGCGCGCGGCCACAGTGGCGTCATCCTAGCCGATCATCGCCAACTCGTTCTCTCGGGTTGGGAACGTGCAGTTCGTAATTGCGCTTCCGGCCGACCGCCCGCCCGCCTCGAGTAGAAATTGATTGGGGCAAAATGGAGACGCTCGCGACGCGATTTTTCACGATCAAGTTCAATCGGTGGACGTATGTACGTACGATAACCGCCCGTCGCCCCCTTCCCCGATTCGATGCACGAGGGATGCGCGCGTTAATCGTGGACAGTGACTAATGTTCCATGGAACGGTGGTGCTCGTTCGAACGAAGGGACGAGGAGAAACGTGGCCGTTTAGGGGGAACGGTAATTCGCTACCGTGACGTTACGTTACGAACAATTACTGCAAAGCGAGAAATAATGGGCCGACCGTAAAAGTTTCAAAAGTTTCTTCGATACGGATTTCGAATCCGATTCGAAAAATAAGAAAAATATTCGTAAAATATTATTTCTTCGTCGATTTCGATGAATCAAATTCGTCGAAGAGAAGGATCGTCTCTTCGATTCCTTCGAGAGAATCGTCGTTTTCTTACGAGTTCTCTCCGTAATTATTCTCTCACGATGAGAAATATTTTCTTCCTCCGTTCTTTCGGTCCCTCGACCGACGAGTCGAGATTTCNTCTCTCTCTCTCTCTCTCTCTCTCTCTCTCTCTCTCTCTCGTTTCGAGATTCTTATGAAATCCGTAGGAAACTTCTCCGTGCGAGACGCGTAATACGGAATCACGTTAATGACAGAGAATACGGGGTTGGGCGGAAAGCCCAAGAGAATGGAAGACATTTAAGAGCAGAGATCGGCGTTAATCGTCGCTCGGTCATTCCTCACGGTCTCCTTCCTAACGGATCTTTCGAGTGAAGATGTTTTCACAGCGCGTTTTAACGATGTTCCTCTTTCGTCTGAATGCTGCGCAAGACACAACAAGTACGTACGTTCTTTTCGTTTCGCACAAGTACCAACGTCGTTTGTACCAACGACAAAAAGAAAGAAGAAGAAGAAGAAGGGAAAAAAAAAGAAAAAAATAAATTTAACAACGTTTCCTTTGAAACTTGTTTCTCTCTTATACGTACATCAACGTGTCTTAACTTAAACGCGTCAAATAAAGCGAATATCGATGTTCAATTAGGAGGAAAAAAGTGACCTTAAAATGACCTTTATACCCCTGCCCCCTCGAAAATGTTACTTTCAGTCGAGGAAACACCTGCTTACGAGCCGTGTACTAATATTTACCAGAACCGCTCGCTCTTCTTTACCTTTTTTATTATTATTATTTTTTTTTTTTGGGTTACGAAACCGAACACCCTCCAATTCGCAACCGCGAACGACACCCTCGAGGAGACAGGTCACCTTTAGTGGACAAGTCGGGATCGCGCCTAACGAGTGAAAGCAGGGATTTCGAAAGGATCGAAAAGGGGGAAAAAAAAAAAAAAAAAAAAAAAAGAAAAAAAACACGGAATCGCAATTAAAACGAAAGTTGGAGGTTTCATCCACGGATGAAATTATATATCGCGGGTGGAGGGAGGGAGGGAGAGAGAGAGAAAGAGAAAAATGTTGGGCGTTTCATACTCACTCTTGGGGGGCGAGCGTGGAGAGTTGGGGCGGGGGTGGTTTCTCCGCTTCCGTGTTAATTATTGGGCCCTCGGGTGTTCGCAGCGCGGCCTCCATCGCCGCGGCTTCCTCCTCCTCGCGCAACTCCTCCGAGGCTTCCTCCGGGATCGTGGTAATGTCCTCTATAGGCGGCAGCTCGTTCCCGTTCTCCTCTCCCAAATGGTTCTCCATCATCGGGTCCGAGTTGTCCCCTGGACGGGCCACCTCCTCGATGTCCGAGTCGATGCCCTGTCCGTGTCAATCGTTACATCGTTATTACCGTTTATCCCTCCTTTCCTTTTCGATCGAAACGTAACCACAAAAGTTCTGTTCTTCTACGCACGACGAACGTACTCTGCATAGATTTCGCGGCGCTACTCTATTATATACTCGTGCACAAAGTTTGCACCTCTGCCTTTCCTCGATCAGACCAACGAAAACACATTCCCGATCGAAGGAGATCACCGGGAGTCGGGTGGAGACAGCGGAGCGGGCGCTGTTATCGATACAAATTTTTCCTTCTCCTCCCTGTATATGTACATGTATATACATCCTCGAGGATATCTATCGAGCGAGGATACGTATCGATGTACCTGAGCAAAATCCATGTAGAAGGAATCCCTGGAGTCGGAGCTGCCCCGCCGGAGCCGGAGGCTGAGATCCGGTGAGCTCTCTCCCATCTTTCTTATTTCCTTTCTCGCCTCTTCCTGCCTCCCTTCCTCCGTTCCTCCCCTAGCCTCGGCGCCTTCTCTCCACCCCTGTGCTACCACCAACCCCCTTTGTCTTTTACGAGCTTCTTGCTCCACGGACGGGGAATTCTAAAGAGGGTGGCCCTGCACACACAATCCACCGAGTTTGCAGCCTGAAAGAATCGTCCTTGAATGACGGATCGTCGTCGACGTTCTATCGTCTTTCGCCCTTCCCGCGCTTTTTTCTCTATCTCTATCTCTCTCTCTCTCTCTCTCTCTCGCTCTCCTCTATTCTCCGTCCTCCCTCTCCGTCGCTCTCGCGTCGGTCGGTCGGTCGGTCGGTTGGTTGGTTGGCTCCGCTCGTTCGTGCGGAGCGAGCACGCGAGAGAAACAAGAGAGTTTGCTCGTCGTTGGCGCGAAACAAAAAATGCCCCGGCGAAAGGAGAAGGGCCGGCGTGAGTGGTCGTACGTGAGTCCGTGAATACAGAGCCCGGATCTCTGAATATCAAACGTCTGCGCGAATTAAAATTTCACCCCGTCATCCCGTGCTACTTTCACCCGCGCGATTCGGGGACAACGAAACGTTGCAAGTGAAAAGAGAATCGTCCCCTGCTGTTCGACGAGCAGAGAGAGAGAGAGAGAGAGAGAGGGATAGACGGAGAGACACTTGGAATTTTCGTTTCCTTCCGAATCGAATCGAATCGAATCCGAACTGCTTCTCTCCTCCTTTCGATCGATTCTCGTGGAAGGGTGGCCTTCGATCGTCGCACCATCGATACAGAGGGAGGAGGGAGGCGTCGGTGAGGATAGGCGTGATTACCGGCCGCCCCGATAACTGGATTCAGTTACGTCGAAACTAATTACGAAAGCTAGGAAATTCAATGGGGGCCTCCTCCGTTTGTCTTCGACTTAATTGCCTTAGCCGCGACTCCGACTGGCTGACTTTAATTAAAACTAGAAGTCGGTCTCGCGGTAACGTCGTCGTTCGAACGGCCAGTGGAAAAATCTCGTTCTCGTCAACGAGCTTTCTACATCCCCATTCCCTCTAATTAAGTCTCGACTCGATCGAGAGAAAAAATAGAGCCACTCGTGCGTATATATATCTGAGAGCTTACTTCGCCTCGAGAGAGAGAGAGAGTTTAACTACTGCAAGCAGTTGGGATATGGAGGGGTCTAGTTTTGAGATAGCAGTAACTAGAGATATTGGCCAGAGGAACTCGACGATACTTTAACTCTTGGACCCACGTCTAATCCCGCGAAAGTCTGATACGCGATCTCCTCTAATCGAGAGGAGTCTCTATTGCGATCAGCTACGCGTATTCGTCGCAATTAGTCGTCGTGCAACGCGGAATTTCCCCGTTTATTAGCATACGCGAAGCGAGAACGAGAGAGGGAGTTTTCCATTCGTTAACGATAGTCCGTGGAAGTAGTCGGGAAGCGGATTGCCGCGAAAAGGGAAGTGGTTTGCAAATAAAATGCGAAAGGGGGAGGATCGAGAAGGAGGAGGGGATTCTCGTACCTTGAGGGAACATTTGTATTTCCGTGCGCGATCGAGTCGCGGGCCAGTGAGACGCCACTTCGCCGGGATCTCGTGTTCCTGAACAACGTCAATGAACATTCTTCCTGTTCAGGATCGGGCTTGGAACGCCATGCCTCGCAGGACCCTCCCGTATCTTGGAACGTTTTATGGCCACTGTGCGTGGCGTCCAATATTTCTCCATCAAACGGCTCCCCATACGCGTCACGGCATTACTACGGGCCATGGGAGAAGATAACGGTGGGGTAAGATGATGCTGCACACAGTACTTTTCTGCAATATTGGGGGAGCTCGAAAATAGCTAGGAAAGCTATTGCTTTTCTCTTCCTCTCTTTCTCTCTTTTCCTTAATTTCTCTCTCGCGAATCGCGCGGGAAAATCGGAAAACCGAGATCACTCTTGCTCTCTTCGAGGGTTCGAGCGCGCGTGACAAACGTCGCGTGGAAAAATTTGGAAAACGATCGGACGAGGTAAATCGTACGTTAATCCGCAGCAACGATTTTCCGTCATTTATATCGCGTGCCGGGAAAGGCGGGTATTTCCATCCGAGCGTTCATGCTCGCCGGCAGTTCATTGGCTTTTTGCATCGATAGCCCGTTTCGTTGCTTTATCTAACGCGTGCCACGAAAACGGGGGATGCACGCGACCGATCCGCCACTTTCAGCCTGCATTTCCGCGCTACCGAACACGGAAAACCGATGCTCTCGAAACGATAGCAACGGGAAATAAATTTAATTAGGTCGTGCGTGCCGATCCAATCTATCTAACGCGAAAACGCAACTATTACGATGTATTTATCCGACTCGATTATTCCAACAACTTTACGTCCTGTTTATATTTCCTTTATTATCCCCGTATTACATAACTCGTTTATTTGGAAAAGAGAAGAATTGGATCGTATCACGTCCCTCGTTGAACGTGAAATAAAAACAGAAGAGAGAGAAAGATAGAGAGAGAGAGAGAGAGAGAGAGAGAGTGTGCGTACACACGAGAGAAAATCCACTTACGGGCTCTGTGTCTGACACGATCGGACGTTCTCCACGTTCGTTCATCCCCCCGTGTCGCGGTCCGTTTCGTTTTCACTTTCATCCACCGGCTTGCACTGCCTCCTCCTACCCTCCTCCCGCGCGGACATCCGATCGGCGTCAACNGACCCGTCAGCTAGCCTCCGCTATCCGGAACCTCCGCGGTTCCATGGCCGGCCGCGAGAACTATTTCGAACCGCACGAAACCACCCACACCACCACTGTCACCAAACCAAACAGCGATCGAAGGGGAAGCGGAGTCGAGGAAACCGGCGTGACACGCGATTCACCACGCGTCCGCTTTTCGTCGCGTGCGCGATGGAACCTTGTGGCAAATCCTTGTTTCCCTTCTGACTCGAACGTATCGTGATCTGTATTCGAAGCGAGGAGAGTGACCGGCCTAGAGAACAAAAAACAACAAAAAACGGTTGGAACTTGTTGATGCGACCTTGCGATCGAAAGTGTTTTCGAAGCGCGGGTTCAGGGGCGAAGCGTACGATCAATCGTTGCGCCGAGACCAGCAACCGAGACGACACTCTTTGGCACCCCCCGAAGGGCGCGCCACGCGACCCATCGACATCCTGCTGCCAGAGCTGCCGGGCTGCTGCGATGGCCCGGGCGTCGCGATCCCGGCGCCTGCGACGCCGCCACCCGTCCCACGCCCCCGACATCCTTCCAGCTACGCTCCCAGTACCGTATCTATTCTATAAGGGATTCGCTCGACGATGGATCGAATTTAGCGCGACGTTCGGGAATTTTATCTGTACTTCTAGATTTGTTTGTTGGTTGTTCTCGATATTCACGGTTGTTTGAATAGGGCATTGATGTGATTGCGCGTAAAGATTTTATTGTTTTATCGATAAAGTTGTATATATTTTTAGGAACGCGCAACTTTTAGGATGCGCGTTTTCTCTTGTTAGTTTGTAATTCGAAAGCGTTTAAAACGATTTGTAATGGAAATTTTAAGGATCGAGAGATTGAAAATATGCGCAGGGGTTTGTTCACACTAGTCACATTGGAGAAATAAATATGTATTGGAGCATGCGCTAGACTCGACAAAACAGTATACCGAGTGCGCTGTTTTCCGACTCCCGCGTGAAAAAAATGTAATGCGTTTAATGGTGTGAAAGAGACTGAATATTCGATAAATTTTCGTGTAATTTCGTTCGGAGTAAAAATGAAATATTTCCACATTCGATGATTTAATCTCAAGTTGAACGCAATAAAATTGTATAAAGGAAGAAATACGAGTGTTGCGCGTGACCTTCACTTGTTGCACCATCGAGTATGACTTCGGAAACGCAATAAATACTAGTATCATTTTATTTATTTCTTTTTCCATTTATTTATTTTTATTTTTTTATTTTTATTTTTTTTTTTTTTACAGAGTTTATTCGTAGATATACGAGTGATGTTAAAATTACATTTGTCATTCGAGAAATATCAACGGTGTTTATACTTTTTTGGTAAGATAATAAAAATATTAGAAGGATTACACTTATTTATATTTATACATTTTCTAATATTACTTTTTTTACATAACTTTTATCTTGTTCAAGCCGTAGAATTAAACGATATTTTTTAGTTTCTTTTCAATTCAGCATAAACTAGAAAGTAAAATATACATTGTATGTGTATTTTTTCGCAAATTGGCTTCGATTAAATTCTTATCACAATTTAAAGACACAATTTTCGTGTCTGAATATTACAAAAATAAATTAATTTCCAACGCATTTTGGCCAAGCCAAACCTCCACAAGATATCGATACAATAACGTATACGACAACCTACGGGATTTATAAAATTATTTATATTGCATTCGAAAAAATATTTTACATTTAATTAACTTGTATTTACTCACAATTAAAATGGCAGCAACTATAACGTAGATTTTAACATTTTTCCAAAATAAGGAGCGTGCCAAATTCCTACTTGTTTTTCTAAACGTAACCGACTAAAAATACCGCGAAATGATTATTTATTCGTATTCACGAAAATTATAATTTTTATAACTTTTAAATTTTAATAACTTACGTTGGCAGTTAAATTTTCAGTCTTGTTTACAAGTAATTCTAACCGTTCTCCCCGCATCGCAACATTATCAATATTTTTGCTCATTATGTCCTTTAATTCGTCTAGATCGCCAAGAGCATTAGCTAATACGTCGATTTCTTGATTGGATTCGTTGTAATGTTTCTAAATAAAAGATATATATATATATATGTATATATGGCAAAATGTAATTTAAAATGTATGTTACTTTTCTTACCATTGTACTGGCTAAAGTTCTGGCAAAATCTGTATTCATTGCATATGGAACTGCAGTTTGCGCATCTTGACCATAAGCAGCTAAAAATCTTCCTTTCATTTCTGCAAGATACAAAAATGCTCTGGATCTTTGGAAATCCTGAAATAAAAGCAGTAATTGTAAAGCAATAACCGATGAATTGTACGATAAATATTTTTTTAATGTACATATATATATATATATCTTTGATTACTTACAGCATCTGTCGTACACATATAAATAATGTTATTTTCACAGATATAATGGAATAAATACTGTCCTTGGGAATACGTAAGTTTGTCATTTTGAGGTGGAATTTTTGTCAGAATGTTCTCTGTTACTTCATCAAAGTTTCCAGTACACGAAGCATATTTTGCTAATATTGTTGTTCCTCGAGCCACCACGCTATATAAAATTGGCATGATGAATACTGAAACAAGAAATAAGTTGCTATTAATTTTAATTTATAGTCTATTTATTTTTAAGCATTAACGAATATTAAATCTTTTACCCACAAAAATTTGACGAAAAAATGATAAAATTTTGTTTGGAACAGAATTTTCTTATCTATTATCATGCTGAGTAATACTGAAAACATTACAGTTTACAGAAGATTTTGCTATATCGATTCATACAAGATATATATAATATATAAAAACAAAATTATTAAAATTTTCAGAAAATCAAAAATTATGAAATTTTCGAAAAGAAAACAATAAAAAATAACAATCCTATATTTCCAAAATAAGACGTCATAATTTCTAACCTATAAAAAAGTTCCTTCTTCGTAAAAGTTCTTTATAAATTTTTTATAAACAATGTTTATATTCAAAGAAAGCCATTGGCATACATTAAAAATAAAATAACTTTACAATGACCAACATTTGAAATTGACAAAATCAACAATTGTTTATTTTCGTGACCTACCTCGATCACTTGGATAGCGCGAACAGAAACACGATCGTGCACTTTTTCAATATTAGCCTTGAAGTAACTATTGTTCTCACTTTTAAAGTAGTATTTATGAGTAACAGCAATGGATGAACGAACAATTAACTCATACGAACTGTTCTATGATGCATCAACAACGTCAGTCTATCTGTGACACATGACAGTTGATTACTACTAAAAATGTATTGGTCTGCTAGCATGCGCACTACTTGTGGCGGGTATTTTAAAAAACGTCATCGATTTTTTTTATCGGTTTTTAAATATTATTTATTTATAAAGATTAGTTTAAATAATTTAATATTATATTTTCTTAAAAATGTTTAAGAAAATTAGAAATTCTTTTAAATTTAGAAATTTAAAAGTATATTTTAAAACATCTTTTTCAAAATATGTTTTCTAATTAAATTATTAAAAAAACGCCTAAAATGAAAGAAATCTCTTATACTTATATTACACGACATACTTTTAGAAACTTAACTTTTTTCTTATTTATAATTTATAATTCGCATTTTTATATAAATTTTTATTTCTATGAACAATCACAACCAATAAAAAGATTTATAAAAAGAAATTACTTCAAAACATAGTTATCTCATTATAAATTTGATTAGGATTTTTGCTAATATTTTATATTATTTTTTATCCTTTTTTATATCTAGTTTGAATTTCGCTCCAAAATGTGGGAGTAAAATGCAAATATTCAGAAAGCTTGAAAACGGCGCGTGATTGGCCCAAGAAGCGCATGTCAATAATAATGTGCCAGTTTTCTAATTTTCTCAACTGCGCACAGTCCACACGTGGTCGCGTGGTGATCAGTACACCGATGTTCTTACTACAATGAGGAAGAGAGGAAGCAAAGGAGTAAGCGTGGATATATAACGGCATAACGGTATTTTTGATGCGAGAAAGAGACGCAAGTGCGTGCATACTGAAACCTAGTCAGTTTCAGTACTTCACTTCGTCAGTCGACCGGTAGAGACTAAACCATCTTCAGGTCTCTCGTGATTGTTATCAACGATTGTCGCTGCTCTACCCTTCCTTCTGTGACTCCTGTAATATTGGCAATGATAATGGGTAAATATATTATTCATAGTAAATTGTTTTATATAATCATAATTTATTATGCATTAATAATTTCATTTTTACGAGTCTTAGAATCTTCCACAGATATTGATTTCATTATGCCAAAAATGTATTGATCGAGATAAATTCAATATGTTACATTTTTTTTTTTGAAATTCAATTAGCTAAAATTTATGGATGCTTAATTATAGTATATTTATAAGTATATTTATAAACTCAAAT